CATTCCAGGCCAGGTTGGCCGGGGCTGTGAGCAACCTGATGTGGTTCAAGGTGTTCCCTGCTCCTGCAGGGGGGTTGGGCTGGGTGACCTCTGGGGATCCCTTCCCACCCAAACCATTCTAGGATCCTATGATTTCCTTTCCAAGCTAGAGCGGCAAGGTTTAATAGGAATCGGCACGCGTTGGGTAACGGGAATTAAGGGTTGGTTCGCTGCAGGTTTCGCGCTTCTTCAGAGCCGCGTCCCCCGGTCCCGCGATGAACATGCAGCCCCCCGGGGGCAGTCGCCCTACCTTGCTCTCACCGCCCGCAGGGAGCGAAGGTGGTGGCAGCTCCGTCCCCGCCGGCGCTGGCGGAGACTACAGCTCCCAGCGGGCATTGCGCTCCGCCCGCCGGGCCGCGGTGCCTGCCGGGAGTTGTAGTCGCGCCGCCGCACTGGTCAGCGCTGTCAGCTGACCGGAAGGAAGAGCTGCCCCGTCCAAGATGGCGGCGGGCCGGGGCGTGGGCCCTCATTAGGCCGGGGGTGGCGACGCTCCCTGAGGAGGATGGAGGGGGCGAAGCGGGAGCTGCGCGTTCTGCTGGCGCCCCTCTCGGGGGAGGCGCGGGGCTCCCTGCGGGACGCAGCCTGGGTCCGGCTGAGCGGGGGCCAGGACGCTCTGGGCAGCCTCCTGGTCCCTGGTGGGATCTACCTGGAGTCCCTGGTGCCGAGCGGAGGCGGCCGGGCCCGGGGCAGCGTCCTCCCGGGAGCCTGGGCTGAGTAAGTGGCAGGGGGCGAGCAGGGGAAGGGGAGGCCGGGGGGGGGTCCCCCGGCGTGGCTTTGGTGTGGTGAGAGGCGCCGGGCGGACCCCAGGGGCTGCGGGCACTCCCCGGGAGGGAGCAGCTCTGCAGAGCCGAGGGCAGGCCCTGAAAGCTGCAGGAGACTGAGGGGGACTTTCAAACCCTGCCTTGAAATGGATGCTCTCCACTTAAAAAAACCCATTGCTGGAGGGGATGTGGATTTATATCTATTTATGTGTTTAGTTGTGGGCATATTCATTACAGTAGATCAAAAAACAAAAAGGAGAAGAAAATTCATCTGGTTTTGTCGAGTTGCTGGCTTAAAATTTCATAGGGCCTGACTGCTTGACTTCTGTGTCTGCTGGTCAGGGGCAAACTCTTATGTGTGACATTTGGCGATCACAAGATGTTTTTGCAGCTTTTAATGATGAGTCAAAACCACAGTCACACCGCATTTCTAAACATCTGCAGTGTCAAGCAATACCAGCACTGTTACAGTGCTCTGGTCTCCTGTTTCGCTCTGCACCATCCTAAGTGGCCTTCTGGCTGTTCCCTCTCTGCCTGCTCCCCTCTCCATACGAGAAGCTGGGGAGTCAGCCAGCTGAAATGCTGCTCAGCCTGAGCAACAGGGAAGCAAAACATATGGAAATGGGCAATATGCTCCGCTTCTCCCCAGCTGACAGTGCTGGTGTTCCTCCTCTTAAAAGAAGTTCTGAAGCAGAGCATCACTCACATGGCATGGATGACTAAAGGAAAGAAACACACAAGGACAGAAAAACCCTGTATTCCTGAGAGGAAGAGAAGTAGGGATTCCTCAAACGCTGGCTTGTGTTGCAATCTCTACTGGGCATGAAATATGTTCTAGTATTGGGAGGGGGCAGTGGCAGAATCTTTACTGCAAAAGACTGTCTGTTTGCACACTTCCAGAGCTGTTCAGTGTATGAAATGTGGAAAGAGCATGAGGTCAATAAACATACTGTATGTTGTATCTTCAGCTTCTTGTGGGAGAATACAGAAGATGGTGATCTGCAAGCAAACAAGACAAAAATACTGGCTCTTAGTAAAAGTCACGAACTGTTTGTCTATGAATTCACTGTAGAAGATGGAAAATACAACCCAGTTTCCCTGCACAGTTGTAAGGAAGATACACTTAAAAAGCTCCTTGAAGTTAAAAACATTAGTGAGTAAATTTCAATGTGTATTCCATATTTGAAATTATTGTAGGTCTGATTCTGCTTCACCTAGTGAAACAAATCGAGGCAGTAGGATTGAATGCTAGGGAAGTGTCAGATACTTTCACACTGATTTCAAGTGATAAGTACCCGTATTGTTTAACTTGAAAAATAATAGCCACATTGAGGTATTCAAAGATGCCATTGTTCAAGGGAATTCAGCTGTTGTAGGGTAAGGCGTTCAGGTGATACAAAGGTAAAAATAAACTTTAATAAAACATGTTCATGCAACCCTGCTATCTCAGACTTTCCCTTTAGTACTGAAACTGATGGGAAGAAAACGTAGAGATGGGGCTCCTTGCTAATCCTGCAAAGACTAATTCTGTGTTTAACCTTGTGTTCTGTGATGAGCAAACATACAGATAGAACTCACAGTCTCGCCAGGACTAGACCTCTGATGTTTTATGTGTTCTTAAACAGTCTCCATTGCTAAAGTATTTTTATTTCCAAAGATTGTAGTTTTTATTTGTGGTGCTGGCTGAAATTCTATTTTGTGATGATTTTTTGTGTTCTTCATAGTATTGTCCACTTAAAAAGGCTGCACTGTTTTAGGAAACTGTTCTAAAATTAGTGCTTCTGACATAGAAAGTGAGATTTAAAACAAAACAAGCCCCCCTGACCCAATCCCAGCTTCTACTAGGGTGGTAGCAGAGGCAATGAATTTGAGCTGTAATTTTCTTGAGATATCTTTACAAATCAAAAGCACCAGATTACTATAATCTGAAAATATCCTTAAATTTACAGGTCTGTCTTCAATTTTCTCTTTGAGGATACTGTCTTTTTTAAACAACAAATGCATACTTCTGCTCAACAAGTTTATCGTTGTGCATCTTGCCTTTCCTGGAAAAGACTCACCCTTAGAGGCACGTGGCTGCTTTACTCTTGATTTGTCTCCACGAGTTTTGGACAGAGTAACAGATACAGACTTCTGCAGGGGGCTCCTGTTCCTGTTAGATAGTTCTGGCTGGATTTGTATCCTTTGCAGTTGAGAGCAGCTCTCAGTGTAAATGATCTGGAAGAACAAAGTTTTTCTTTTCTGCCAGGGTGAAGCAGAAATTTGTTGAAAGACATTCAGGTGTCTGGTTTGAAGATGCTTTCAATAAAGGGGTTGTGCAGCGAAGTGCTAGTTAATGCAGTAAAAAATGCTGTAGTCATGTATCTGATGGAGTTTCTCGACGTGCCACTGGAAATCTGTTTCACACTGGAGTAATGGTTTTCAGCAGTTTTATATGTGGATCTGTTTATAAAGGTTTACATCTACTGTCACTAGCCTTTCTTTTCTTAATTCGGTCCCTTAGAAATTACCCACAGATACGCAGGGAATCACAGCTTGGGAACCAGATATTTGGCTTCTGTGTTCTTACGAACAGGAGCCTAGACCTGTCAGGCAAGGTGCTGAACCTATTCTTTGTCAATTTTTTTCTGATATGTATGTAAAAAAATGCAATAAAGTCAGGGTACTTTTTCCTCCTGATCGTGTAACTGCCAATATATATCTGTCCCTGTTCACTTCTAAGTATAAATCAATGAGTTGCATGTTTCTACAGCACCTAGCACAATTCACTTTGATCCTAGCTGAGCTTAGAATGCTCTTGTAAAACAAACAGTTCTAAATGTTTTGTGGTACAGAGATTGGCTTGGACCACAAAGTTAACAGAAATTCACTGTCTTCCCCTTCTATGTAATTTCTTGTTTGTTGGACAAATCTGAGGCCTTGTGTTTTCTTTGATGCTGTTCAAAGACATATTTGACTCTCTTGATGGTGCAAATCTAGCAAACGTCAACGTAGCTCTCTGCCAGGGAGACGTGCCGGGTGAGGACAGGAGTCCA